CGTGTATTATTGTGCAAGAGACACAGTGAAGGGAGTCCTAGGAGATCTCATGCAAAAACCCCTCATTGTATTAATAAAGTGTCTCCAAAGGGGTCACCAGAGAACCACTAAATGCATTGCTCCACATTTGGAAGAAAATCAACCAGGGGTGGAGAAATAGGAAACCAAAATATATGTGCCAGGCAAAGATATTATTAGTCTGTATTTAATGCGGTTTCAACAAGTTTCACTCACTGGCCTCCAGGGAGCTTGCTGTGGCTTTCTTATTCCAGTGAAAGATGCCATGTCAAACTGTTTTCATTTTTGCCTTCATGTTTACATCTATGCTTTCATCTGTGTTTGATCCACGCTCTTATTTTGTGTTCTGGTCCCCATACCCCCCTTCTCTGGGAAAGTTAAGTGAATAATAATTAATTTCCCCCTTCAAATCAGTCTTGGTTCCTAATGACTGCCAGGAGAAATTATGGCATTTTTTTTTCAGCAACATCTTCTAAAGGGGCCTGCTTTGCTCTCTTCCTGAGATGGATATGGTCCAATGTCACTCAGATGGCTTTGTGCATAAGCTGGGACTAAAACTCATGGTGTCCCCGTGTCCAGAGTTTCATGAAATATTTTGAATTACTAGGAATTTCCTTTGCTCCAGTTGCTTCCAAATTTTCTTACATTTTTTTAAGGTATGTAGGACATGTGCAAATTCTTGGAAAACAAATCCTAGGAAGCCATGAAATGTAAAAGCACTTGATAGTTCAGAGACACCAGTAGCAACCGTTCTTTCCTTTGAAATTTCCACCATGGCAGTTCAGTAGTTTTTCTTCTCCATTTCTTGCTCCATGTGATGAAGACCTTATTTTAATTTTCTCATTCAGGGTGAAGTACAGTCCATGGGGCATGAGTACTACATGAGTACACTGTTCAGCACCCCAAGGTATTTGAGGGTGCATGGGAGGATGGAGTGTGGTTTTGGCTAAGGCTCTGTTCTCAGTAGGTTTCCCAAAAAGACATGTCCTCACTCATTTTGTACAGCAGCAGCCTGGATAAACAGTTGGATTTCATGGAAAGCACATGCACCCCTCTGCAGCCTTCTCATAAATAATGTCTGTTACACAAGACAATGATTTAGTTACAAAGGGGAGTAGCAACCATGCTTAGATTACAACCCAACCAAAAGTTATTGGATTTTGTGGACTTACTTGGAAAGCCCAGTCATAAGCTGGGGAGACCTCTTCCAAAGAAACACTTTGAAGTTCTCCCCCTAAGTGATCTCTGCTTGCAGATCTTGCAGGGAGAGTGGGAACTCCCTTTGAAAGAGAGAAGGTCTGTTGTCATGAGGGTATCATCTATGACACTTTGCTTGCCAGCTATGATCCAAGGTGGGAAACATGATTATTCTTGGATCGGTGTGGAATTGACTTTGAATCTAAGGCTTAGTACCTGTTACCTGGAGTGTGGTATCAAGGCTAGCTGCAAGTCATGCTATGCAATATTTCCTTATTGTACTTTCTTGGAGTGGACATGATTCTCATTGTCAAGCTTTCATTACATACAAACTCAAACCTACTTCTGCTCTCTTAGGAAATTAGTTTCATAATTTTTCTAGAATGGCTTTCTGCTACCGCATTTCTCTAAGACTTCAATACAGCCAAAAGTGATCCTCAAGCAAAGACCTCTGTATTTGAAGCCATAGTCAGTTGTGTGATTTTCCCATGGAATACCCTGTTCCTTAATAATCAGTCCAAAAAAGGGGAGATTAAGAAGAGGAGTGTTGTCAATCATTTTCACTTGACAGTGAAACTGGGGACAGGTTTAAAAAGAGAATTCTGGTTGGCAAATTAATTTCTTTATATAAGAGAACTGTGTACAGCATTCATTACAGTTAAAGCTGGGAAGGAGGAAGAAAGAGAATAGAAGCTTTTGGAAGAGAAAAAAGGGGAAGCCAGAGGAGGAGCAGGAGGAAGAAGAGTTTGGAGAAGGAGCGGGAGAAATAGAGACTGTGATAACTGGTAGAGGAAAAGGAAGAGCAAGGAATGAGAATTCTTTCAGAGATAGACCTATTTCCTAAAAGAGATCTACATACATTGTAACTGTAAAAATAAAGAGGTTTATTCCTTCTTGGATGGAGAGCACTGGAGATTTCCAGAGTTTTATCCTTCATTGCCAAGCTGAGAAACAATTCTGAGGAAGGAAATGGAAAGCCACTTCCTTAGTATTGCCTAAAAAACTGCACGATTGTGTCTCTGCAGTCACCAAGAGTTAACTGCGCCTATGATATTCATCTCACATTTATACAGTTTCCATCTGAATTTATGCAAAATCACTGTCACTTTCACTTCTCATTGAAACCCTCAAAGCTTCCCAGCTCATATAGACAGGTTCATCTCAAAGAAACCCTCAGAGATCCAGCCATTCCTTCACAATGGGGTCCTTCTTTCCAGTTCTCCTCACGCTGGCTGTCTTCTCTTCCCGTGCGTTCATTTTGCCATTTCCCCCACCCCATTTCTTTAGCTTCTTTAATTCAAGTGAAGCCATAGTTTTTAATAATGGCTGTGATTTCATAACTCTGATGTGATTCTGTTCTTCCTTCTGTGTTTAGGGGGCCTCTCGCAAATAGTCCTGACCCAGTCAGATCCAGCGCTGAAGAAACCAGGAGAAGCCCATAAACTGACTTGTGCTGTGACTGGATTCAATGTCAACAGCTACTGGATGGCTTGGATCAGACAGAAACCTGGGAAAGGCCTGGAATGGCTTGTTGATTATTACACCTCAAGTAGCAACTATTACTCCCCATCCATCCAAGGACGATTTACTGCGTCCAAAGACAGTTCCAACTTCTATCTGCAAATGAACAACCTAAAGGCCGAGGACACAGCCGTGTATTATTGTGCAAGAGACACAGTGAAGGGAGTCCTAGGAGATCTCATGCAAAAACCCCTCATTGTATTAATAAAGTGTCTCCAAAGGGATCACCAGAGAACCACTAAATGGAT